GAGAGAGAGAGAGAGAGAGTGAGAGTGAAAGACAGAGATTAAAATAAAGGAACGGAGACAGAAAAGGAAACAGGACGGGACGGGAGAGAGAAGAAGAAGAAGAGAAGAAGAGGGAAAAGGAGAAGAAGAGGAGGAGGGGGAGAACGGAAAGGAGAAGAGGGGGGGGGGGGAAGGTCGTACTCCAAAACTAATGTCAAAGTGCCTTAGGCTTTACGTAGTTGTCGAGGCTTCTCCCATGAAGGTTTAAAACAGGTTATATTATCAAAGAAAATGACATTAATAATTTTTAAAAAGAATAATAATAGGTGATTAAAAAAAAAACAAATGTTGGCGAGCGCGAGAGTATCGACTTTAATGGTTTCTAATATCGCAGCGAGAAGTTGATGTTAAGAGCATAAAAAAGAAAAGAAAAAAAAGGCACAAAGAGCCAAGGGTAAAAAAAAAAAAAAAAAAAAAAAAAAAAAAAAAAAAAAAAAAAAAAAAAATAGATAAATAATTTCATTATTGCTTCGTTTACATGTTTATGAATTTTTCGACTGTTGGACAAGAAGGAAAAACAAAAGGAGCAGAAAGAGTCTTATTGAGCTCATAGTCGTGTTGTCAAAAAGGTACAGATGGGCTTTTGTGGGAAGAAAGAAGAAGGAAGAAAGGAAGGAAGGAAAGAGACGAGGACAGGAGAAAAAAGCAGGAGGACGGGAAAGGGAGATGGAGCGAAATCGTAGATAAAAAGTGAGGATATATATACATACATATATATGTATAGATGTGCAAATATATGTTTATATATGTATATATATATATATATATATATATATATATATATATATATATATATATATATATATATATATATATATATATATATATTATATATATATATATATATATATATATATATATATATATATATATATATATATATATATATATATATATATATATATATTACACATCTATACATATATATGTATGTATATATCCTCCTTTTTATCTATCTTATATGTATGTATGTATGTATATAGACAAAGAGACAGATAGATAGATAGATAAATAGATAATGTAGATAGATTGATAGATAGATATATAAGATATATACATACATAATACATACATATATATATATATATATATATATATATATATATATATATATATATATATATATATTATATATATAAGTATGTGTGTGTATGTGTGTGTGTGTGTGTGTGTGTGTGTGTGTGTGTGTGTGTACACACACACACATACATTTACATGTATGCATGTATTTATGTATATAAAGTATTGTTTGTATGTAGATAGGTAGGTAAGATAGAGAAAGAAAAAAAAAAGTTAATGAATAGCCTGACACTTATCTATCTAGTTATAGCTAGACAGACAATCCGATAAAAAAAGCGAAAGCGACAGAGAGCGACGCAGACGGAGGAGCGAAGGCCAACGACCCTCCTATCGACTCGGCGAGCTCGGCGACGACGCACAAGCAGCCAAGCAAACGGCGGCGGCGACGAGCAACAAGCAGCCAGCAAACGGCGGCGGCGACGACGAGCAACAAGCAGCCAAGCAAACGGCGGCGGCGACGACGAGCAACAAGCAGCAAGCAAACGGCGGCGGCGGACGAAACAAGCAGCCAAGCAAACGGCGGCGGCGACGAGCAACAAGCAGCAAGCACGGCGGCGGCGACGAGCAACAAGCAGCAACGGGCGGCGGCGACGCAACAAGCAGCAAAAACGGCGGCGGCGAAGCAACAAGCAGCCAAGCAAAACGGCAACAAGCAGGCGGCGCGGCGGCGACGAAGCAACAAGCCAAGCAAAACGGCGGCGACGACGAGCAACAAGCAGCCAAGCAAACGGCGGCGGCGGCGACGAGCAACAAGCAGCCAAGCAAAACGACGCAGCAAAAACGAGCAACAAGCAGGCAAACGGCGCGGCGGCGACGAGCAACAAGCAAAAACGGCGGCGGCGGCGACGAGCAACAAGCAGCCAAGCAAACGGCGGCGGCGACGACGAGCACAAGCAGCCAAGCAAACGGCGGCGGCGGCGACGAGCAACAAGCAGCCAAGCAAAACGGCGCGGCGGCGACGAGCAACAAGCAGCCAAGCAAACGGCGGCGACGACGAGCAACAAGCAGCCAAGCAAACGGCGGCGGCGGCGACGCAGCAAGCAACACGACGGCTACAACACGAGCAAGCAGCAAGCAAACGGCGGCGGCGGCGACGAGCAACAAGCAGCCAAGCAAACGGCGGCGGCGACGACGAGCAACAAGCAGCCAAGCAAACGGCGGCGACGGTCGCCAAGCAAACGGCGGCAAGCAACAAGCAGCGCAAACGGCGTCGAGCAACAAGCAGCCAAGCAAACGGCGGCGGCGACGACGAGCAACAGCCAAGCAGGCGGCGGCGGCGAGAGCATCCCGAGCGGCAGCCAGCCCGGGTCGCCGCCGTATCGGGTCAGCCGATCTTCTCCGGTTAGCAATATCGGGCCGCGAGTTCCGCCGCACGGAATAG